CCCCAAAACCCCAAAACCCCAAAACCCCGCAGAGCAATATCTTATTAAAATCCAGAGTATTAGAGGTAATTATTATTGAGTTAAATGTATAAATTTAAAACATAAAATCTCAATTTAATTTTTAATATGTGTTTTAATTGATAATAATATCATACAAACCATCACATTTTGTTCTTAAACCTTATTGGAATATGATGAATTCTAAATTTTCTATTGATAAGACTGCTTTTATAATGATGAACTATCTTACTTAAGTTATGATTTATTAATTTTTAATTCTATGAAAGGTTAATTGGTAGTATATTATATAATTTAAGCTAAAAGACCTTCTTCTATATGGCTTAAATTTTTAATTAATTATTGATAAAAATATGTCATAAACTACTGCTAACTAAAATGTCTTTTCTCATATTTGTAGAAAATATTCTTCTACTCTGTGGGCTAAGATAAATTTTCAATGTTTAAGTTATATTATAAAGTTAAGCGAATGTTTGTAAGATGTCAAATTCTTTATAGAGAAGTTAGAATTGAAAACATATCAATCTCCATCGTCATTATATTTTTATATAATATTTGACTGTTTGGCTTCTAAATATTTTTATCACAATAGTTTGAGATAGATATGTGAATATACTTTTAGAGACATTTACATCAACAAATAAAATTTAAGTATGTTAGATGATGCAAAGACTTAGATTGTAATTTATAGGTTATTAAGTTTGTATAAGGTTATAGGGAGAAAATATAAATATGTGTTAAGTTTTATTTGCTAAGTAATTATTTTAGATCATCTCATAAACATACCTTCCGTTTGTAATTTCACACAGTGCTTCACTCTGTGATTTAAACTAAAGTTCAGGGGTAGTAGAATTATTTTGCTTTAGCAGATGAAGCTTCATTTGCTTATGCGTAAAGGAACTAATTTGCCTCAGCTGATGCTCCATCTTTTGCTTGTGCGTAAAGGAATTGGTTTGCATCTGCTTAAGAGGCGTCATTAGTTTGTGCGTAAAGGAATTATTTTGCACCAGCAGATGCGGCATCATTAGTTTGAGAGTATAAGAATTATTCTGATGCAGTATTTGCTTTAAGCTTATCCTTTATTTTAATAGCTGATGAGTCTAAGATCATTGAGGCAGCTAAGACGAGCAAAAGAATTTTGACGAATCTTCCTTGAATCATTATGTAAAAGTAATATTATTTAATTACAATCTACTACCGTCTAACATCTAGATATTTTAGCTTGAAGGGGTTTTGGGGTTTTGGGGTTTTGGGGTTTTGGGG